TTAAATAAGCAATATGTACGAGTAAATTTGTTGATATTTTAATAAAATCTAAACATAAATTATTTAAAATAAAAAAGCTGTTATTTGCTTCAAAATTTTAGCAATAAAAATTTTCATTATTTTAAATCTGATAATTTAATATTTAAAAAAATTTTCAGGTAGTATGTCGAGAGCTTGGCTTTGATAGCACAAATGTTTATGAATGGTTGACACCACGATGGAATTATAATCCAAAAATAATCATTCGAAAGAGTCACGTTGCACCGCGCCAATGTATCGGAATGGAATTAAAACTTGAACAATGTCCGATACGAACGAGTAATAATTTAAGTATGTGGCAGTGTATTGACAATGAACATTTTAATTTTATACATTGCGGTGAAAAAACAATCCTAAACAGGTATGATTTTATTATCGAATATGAATTTATTACATAATGAAACTGAGAATTGCAAATATTCTCGACTGAGTTTTTTGCTACTTTCTCCTAATTTATACTGGAAAAAAAGAATAAGGACGAAAAAATAAAGGATATCGATAATAAAAGTTAATTAAATAAATTAAATAAAAATTAATACTTGACAAAAATCAATTTGCTAAAAACACGACTAAATTATGTGAATGAATCCAAGCGTACAAAAATTGTATAAAAGTGATCTAAATTAATACAATTATTGAAGGAGTTGGAAATTCCAATTGGATTATTTGGAAATTAAATGCGTTATTTTAATGGATCTAAATTTAAAAGAAAAATTATGCAAAAATTATTCGAATTATTATAGGCATTAGAAAAATAAATGAATTTTATGAAATTTAACTTTAAATAGAAATACTGATAGAATTAACTGGATTAATCTAAATCTGAAAACTGAACAAAAATTGTCTCAAATAAACGAATTATACCAAAAATGGTTGATTAGGTTTTTTTTTTTTGAATTAATCTAAACATAAATGTTGAATGATTGCACGATTTTCTTGGCTAATTAAATAAATGTGTATTTAATTTTCCTATTAATAAGAAAAAAGGAATGAAGGAATAAAAGAGAATATATTTGCAAGAAATTGAAAAAAGCGAATGAGAATAATAATGATAATAATTTATTTTGGCTTTATAGCAATTATATTGGTAATTGGGGTGGTATTACGTTTGCGCATGGTAGCATTGATTATGAGCAAAGAAATACAGTAACAGGTTTCCATTTCATTTCATTTCAATTTTAATGTAATTAAATGCATTGTCAACTTTCATATTTACGTTTAGTAAGCAAAATTACATAAAATAAGCTTACAATAGTTAAATTAATTAATAGATAAACCAGTAATTCATTTCATTCTGTTGAACTAGATTGAATTAAATCATTTCACTTTGATTTAATTCAATTCAATTCTATTGAATTTATATGCTTGTATTTCTAGCAATAATAATATTTATACAGTAATAAATTTATAAAAAAAAAGATTTAACATTTTTATGAAAAAAAAATTTTTTTAAACAAATTTATTTGTGAACAAATATTATAAAACGTTGCTAAGCTGAGTGTATGCTTTTCCGATTTATAGAACAATCGACCTTACGAAATGTGGAAATTGTTGGTGGTGGATCGGCGCATAACGAAACGATCGGTGTAGCGGCGGTATTATCCATTAGACGCAGTCCGATATTCGATCATGTTAACATTACAAATTCATCTATGCATGGATTACAGGTGATTTATTTTAAGAAATGAAATTGATTAATTAAGATTTATAATTTTTAAGGTTTCAAATTTAGAATTAATAAATTTACAATTTATTATAAACAAATAAGAAAATTAGGAAGCTAGCAAACAATAGCAAAAACAATAACGGCGACATATATTTCCACAATAGTACTGATGATTATCAAGATGTAAAAATGAAATAATTCTTGAAAATAAAAACTTTAATTATTAAATTAAACTCGGAAACAAAAAATTTTCAAATATACTTCATTTAATTCTTCCCTTTTCCCCTACTTTTTCTTTTTTATTTTACTTGTTTTTATTTCTTTATTAACACGTTTTCTTAAGTGAATTTCAAAACTAATATTTATTAGTTTTGAAATTCACTGAAGATTTGAACGCATTAGGTAATAACTTGTTTCTAGATATAAGAATAAATCAAATTGCTGAATGATAGAAATGATCATATGTAGCAAATATCGGAAATTTATTTGAACTAAAATTGGGAATTAGATTATTGATAAGGAAGCAATTTATTTCAAAAAACTTACATCTAAATTTTCACTTCCATTTAATAAATTTACAGATTCTTATTCCTCAGAAGGATATAATTTTGAACAAACTTAATGTAACACAAAATCATGGTTACGGTATAAGTTTTTGGCTATCAAACTTGCAAGGATCAAGTGGAAATTCAGGTATTTTTGCAATTTTCAACTTTATTATTGTGCGAAATACCAATGGATTTTCCTTATTTTATAAAATTTATAAGATAGCATAAATTTACTACTCTTAATATTTCAACCTCATTAATATGTTTACAATTAAAATGCATTACGGGAATAATTTATATATTCATTTGATTGTGTTTTATAACTTTTTCTTTCAACATTTGAATTACAGTACTTAGTACTACAATATGAACATTTACAGTATTATCTACAGTACACTTCATTATAAAAATGATCATATTTTTAGGAAACATATTAGGAATGATGAATACCATACCATATAATGCTCGTGGTTTATTGGATATTTGCGCAGCGCAAAAGAAATTTGAAGTTATAAATCGTATAATAATGTTCTATAAGTATGATTCGCACACTGTTGATTGTGTCAAAATTTTTACATCATCAGAACGGAACATTGCATTTCGATTTCTTTTGGTAAAAAAAAAAGAAAATTTTCTGTTCAATTTTTACAATAGTATGTCTTAGTTAAACTTGTTTATCTGAATTAGCTTCAGACGAAATATTAGTGACAAATACTTTTGTTATATTTCAATTATTAAATGTAATCATTAAATTTTAATGTGCTACTTGACATTCTGCCAAAAGTTTATTAATTATAAATTGAGTAGTAATAATCACAAGCAGAGGTCTGCCACTTTTTTTCTCCAATCATTGATAATTATACTTCAGTCTCATTGAGGAAATTCAATGAATGATATAATTAGTGAATAAATGATTATAGATCAATCTATACGATGGCTCTCAAATGAATCTTGGCCGTTTAGATTCAATAACACTATATAGTGATGCTGAATTTACCCAAAGAATACATCAGTTTACTTCACAAACATCAGATTTTTCATTAAATATCCAAGCACAGTCATTTTTGGCCATACATATGCGAGCTAATGCAGCCAATGGTATTTATGGATTTATTGCTGAAATTACTATTATTCCAACATTAGCTCAAACGTGTAAGTGTTTCTCCTCAATTGGTCAATTATTTGTATAAATAAAACAAGAGTTGATTACTTCCAAAAATGAAATGAGTACGCTTCCTTGAAAAAGTGTTTCGCGTTATTCACATAATGTTTATTTGAAAACGCAGTATGCAAATTTTTATAAAAACTTTAAAATCAATTTTATTTGGCATATGAGTAAGACGATTGAATTTTATTATTTATTCAAAAGTTAGAATTTAGTAATTCTATTAAAATAAAATTCTATAATTACGCTCAACAAAAACACTAAATTAATCGCATAATACTGTCATAATTATTTTTAAAAATTTCGTCATCCATTTAACTAATTTATTTAATGAATAAAATTTTACAACCTTTAATAAAAATTTTTTTGAACAAAAATTAAATCATTTAATAATTTGTGGACTGTTTTTCACATATTTTTCTTTCAGATTCAACAGATGAAATTTTAATACGACACAGTCGTGTAGAGAAAAATGATCGTGGTGCAATAATTTATCGTAATACAGGTGAAGTAGGACCTAATCTTGTAATTAGCAATTGCATGATCCAAAAAAATGGCTATCATTTATTTGGTAACATAAGTACAACAACTTATGCTATTCAATTACATTTTCATAATACTTTGGTTAGTAATATATATATATATTTTACCGTTTACTTTTATTGTTTTCGCATTATTATTACTTTAAATCATTGTCATGTACAATTATAGTAATTTTTCAAGAATTTAAAGAAAGTTATTTTAATTTCATACATATATAATGCTTTTTATTTTCGATTAATTTATGTTATTTAACTCTTAAAGATCTTATTTTTTCTTTCCTCAAATCTGATAAAATTATCCTATTTGAATATTCGATTATTGTTACGGTCATATAATACTATATACCATTATCACATACTCTTGTTTGTAATTCATTCAAAAATATGATAAATTTACTTTTTTTTGATTACAGTCGGCACAGTTTCGGAACAATTTATTGATGGATAATATCGGTGGATTATGGATTACTGCGCTAACGACCAGTTCAATTGCTCGCTTAATTGTAATTATCCGAGAGTGTGCTTTTATGCATAATTCGAATAGTACCGTTCTTGCTTTCTTAGGAAATGGTAATCAGGTCAGTTTTTTTTTCTTCTTTTTCTCGCGCTGTCTATCTTTTCTGTCCTTTAGATCACCGAAGCTATCAATATTTCAGTTATTCTGCTTGCTTGTTAGAAATTAAATTATTATTATTATTTGTTTAATTCAAATTAAAGTAACACTTATACTCGTACTATTGTATGAAAAATAAAAATACTACTCGTACTGTTTATAACCGAAAATAATTATTATTAATGAATCAAATGAATGCTCGTATTCAAAATGATGCTTAATATTAATATAACTGTTAAGAAAAACAAGGAAATTTTAATTTTAAAATAAAGATTTAATTAAATGTATGAAAAATAAAAAAATAGGAAATTTTGATAGTAACTGCTAATTAGCTAGTTTGTTAATTAATTTCTATTTCTTATTAATCTTGTTGAATTTTTTCTGTTATTATCTTATCAATTAATTATCGAGACATTTTTAATAACAAATAATCTTTTGCAGAAACTATGGTTGTTCAACAATTTAATCAGAAATAATTATGCGTTACATTATGATACAGTACTGCTAAAAGGTATTACAGCAAATTTAACGCGTAATCTCTTTGCTAACAATACAGGCTTACACAATCTTCATTTACAACCTAATTTACCGGATTCCTTGGATTCATATATATTATATCGTAACTGGTTTTACAATAACATTGCTCTTGGACATGGTTATCGATATCAGGTTTCTTTCATTTTTATACCTATCAAGTTTGTTTCTTTATCTTCATTTATTTTAATTTAATTTGAATTTATTAGCTTTTAATCTCTACTAAAAAATGCAAATTATGATTTTATCGTTTTCTGGCAATTTGATTGTGTGAACTGTTCTTAATATAAATTCTCATTTTACAACTTTGTTCGCTTCTGTTATTATACGTAAAAAAAGAACAATTAATCAATCATATCTTGATGAAAAATTATTTAATTCTACTAGTTTCTTCGTAAAATTTCCAGGAGCGATATGGATATCAACCGGATTATTTGTCGGATAAATTTATACGTCGGTCGAAACGAGAAATAGTAATGGAAGGTGTAAGTTTCGACTGGTGGACTCATATTGGTACAGATTCGGAACGTTATCAAAGTACAGTATATGCAGGCATTTCGAATGTATTATACCGCGAAAATACGTTCAACAATCCGATTAATCCATATGAATTGGTTACAGGCAAAACGAATAGGTAAAATAGACTGTATCTTATCTAATTAATTAATTCATTTAAAGGATACGGAAGGTTGACGGACTTTTATTTGCTATTATCGAAAAATCCATGAAATTTGTTACGATTATAGTTATGTTATGTTCAAAAATTTGTTATTATCAAGTTGTGGATATTCGATTTAATTATTAGATAAAATTTATCGCTTGAACTTTGGATATTCAATGAAAATATTATGATATAGAAGTCGTAATTTGAGAATTTACTAACTGGCATTATTTACAAGGTTTTGAAAATTTTTGCAAAATTTATTAAAGCAATACTGTAAGCTAATGATCGTTTAACAACAGTAAATATTGTAAGTTTTAACATTTGACAGTGTGAACAAGTTTAATAGATTGCTTGATCTTTGCAGATGAATATTATAGTATGTCTTACAATATCTTTTTTTCATTTTTTTTTTTTTTTTGAGAACAATAGTTTCGTAATTGTGAAGCAGTATAAGTTACAAAATATGGTATGAGTTGAAAGTTTTACATATTGAATTTGAATTTCTTGTAGCATGGAAGGACGTGCAATTGATGCGCGAGAAAATTACTGGGGTTATCCAGGTACAGTTGGTGTTGCCAGTGGAAAAATTCGTGATTATTATGATTACGAATATTTGATTCGAGTGGATTATGTACCAGTGCTTGAATCCAATGCATCACTTATTGAAGGCATATGATTATTCCTTAATTACCGAAAAAAGCAAAATGAAAATTTTTCTTTTCAACTTAAAAAATTATCACAATAAGGTGTCGTAAGGAAAAAATAGTTACTTAACGTAAAACTTGCATCGTAGCATAATAACAAAGGAATTTTCTTAATTTAGCGGCATATTTTATTACAATTTTATAGTTAATTTGCATAGTGTACAATTGATATCAAACACATTTTTTTTTTGGTTTAGATACCTAAATAATGATAACTTTTTGTTTATTATTAATCAAATTATAGCTGACAACTTAAAAATTAGAAAATCAATTGAATTAAAATAAGTCTTTTACTTTCTGATTAATAAAATAATGATCTATGATTAATAAAGTAAAAAAAGAATAAAGTGTTTATTTATTTATTTTTAGGTGATTGTCCAGCTGGTTGGTTTCAAATTGGTAGAGACGAATTTAAATCGTGTTTTCTGTACAGTGGCGCGGCAACCACTTATATGGCTGCTGTCAAATTTTGTCAGGTAAATAATGGATATTAAGGTTATTAGTTCGTGAGGTGTATTACTAACATAAGTAATAATAAAAGCATTATTAATAACGATGACGTTATCGTTACTAATTATCATTAATAGAATATTTAATAGACGTAAATATAATCAAATATTTAATGGTAGTAAATATTGATGCTTTATAGTTTTAAGATGAGATAGCAGATTTCAAAGTTAAAATATCTTCTTTATATCTGAAATAAATCAGATACAATTCATATTTTTAAAGATATATTCCCTTATTAAGTAACAAAAATTGAAGGCAATATCATTCATTTCGTGAAAATAGTGCACATTCAATAATGAGACACAATTTTAGAATTGTAAATCGAATCATAAAAAATGTTAATTAATTGAATATCAAACAATATAGGTAAAACGAATCATAGAAAATAATAATTATAAGAAGAAAAATGAAGAAATTTTTTCAGGAAATGGATGCATTTGTACCGTACTTACGAGTTGATGACAGTAGACAGAAAGAACTCGCCAAACGAATCGATGATATCGTACATATGCGAACAACTGACAGTATCGATCGTTACGATACTTTTACAGTATCTTATCATTATATTTGTTACAAAGTTTTAAAATACATCTCTGTATTCTTTACATAGAAATATTTATAATATTTTGAAAAATTTTATTAACTTCATCGTATCATTTAAATTTTTCTCAACGTCTTTAATAAAAAATATGAGGCCAGAACGACTAAAATTTCCCTAGAAAATATTGGAATACTATAGTACCGAAATAGTGGATTAATTCAATTCTCTTAAGATTATTTTTAGATCTCGTTAACTTTCATAATTTTGATCTGAATTTTGGTTCGATGAAAATTAGAAAGTTTTCCTTTTTTCGTCAAATTAGTTTTTATTTATTATTTAATCATACAAGTTATATGTTCATTTTTCATTAATATTTAATTTAAAAGTATATTTTTTATTAATAATGCTTGTTACGAAAATTTCTCTGATAAAATAGTTTTTATTTATTATTTAATCATACAAGTTT